TTAGAAGTCTGCCCACCAAGGCGAGACTCTGACTCCTTTGCATCGCCTTTTGTCCCCAAGCCCACTACCGAGTCCAGTGCAGAGTGAGTGATTTGGCACCTGCCAATGAACTGGCTTGTCCCTGGTCTCTGTTCTAGATATGACAAGTGTTTTGCCCTCATTGAAGACACGGAGGCTTAGGTTAAGAATTTGTCCTTGCTCACCTGCCTGGTAAATCAAAGTCTTGGGCTAAATCAGTTTTGTAATTCCAAATGTCATGCTTCTTTGGCCTATTTCCTATCTCTCTGTATATTATTAATCAATTTTTGTTTTCAAGAAAAAATGATAATTGATCTTTCAAGTAAACACAGCCAATATCGTGTCATGTCATTACCTCAATGAATGACAATATTTTCCACAAGGGAGCCGATTAGCTTGCCTGAGGTTTCCAGAGACATAAGTATTAGATTAGAGTGACATCAAGTGGGAAAATCCAATTATTTAGACGGGCGACTTGTTATCCTCACTGCTACCTTCCAAGTCCGTCCTAGTAGGGGGTGGGGGTGGGGTGGGGGGGGTGCTGCAAAGCAGGTGGGGGCATGCTGAACCCTCCACTTTTGCAGTCCCTCTAAGGGGTACCCGGTCTCAGAGTCCAAAGGATGGTAGCTCCGCTTTGGGACTCAAAAGCAGATCCAACAGCCATCCCACACTGCTTGCCAGCTCTTGGGGACAAAGGAGGACATGAAGGCTCCCAGCCTAGGGCCCCAGAGTCTGGCTCCTGTGGTGAAGTGGTGGTTTAGAGACACACCACCAGGTGTCTGGCTTTAGTCCTCTGAAGGAGCTGCTTGTGCTTGATCACCTCCAGGTGCCCTCCGTCAGCCTCTGGTTTTGCTTGGCCCCTCTTGTGGATAAGAGGGAACTGAAGACTGGTGAGGGAGGTGGGCGGCCGGCATCAGCGATTGAACCCAGAGCTCCTGGTCCTGGTCAAGATCATTCCCTGATGGGTAAGCGTGGTTTTTAATGGCTAGGCAGCAACCCTAGGCACCTACCAAACACCTTTTATGGGCCACATCCAGTGCTGAAGCCCTAGAAATGACCGGAAGAGTACCTTCTCTTGAGCTCACACACTGCTTCTGGGCGCTTTGGTGGACAGTCACATTGGCAGAAAGATAGGGCCTTACCTCCTGAGAGTGGGGAAGGCGAGGAGGTGTATTGGAAAGATGGGAGGCAGTTGTACTAGGGGTGGAAGGAGAATCAAAGTGTCAGCTGGTGGATGGCTGTCTGTCTAGTGGTTGTGCCCCCCCCTCCCACTTTCTGATCTCATATGTGCATGACCAGGTGCACATCTAGCTCTGGGATCAAATGTTGGTGTCGTCGTGGATGGATTATCAAGTGAACCTGCAAACCCCCCCCCCTCCACTTTACAGAGTCCAGATTTGGGACACTCTAGGCTACCTCTGCTCTGGGCCTTGTGCTGGGGCTGAGGAGCTGGGGAAAAACCAGGCTCTGATCCCTAATGTCTTCCTGCCTTGTAGTTTCCCATGACCTCATTCCATGACTTAAATGGGGTTCTCATGCAGAGCTAGGGAACCTCAGGATGGCAGGAGTTTGGTGCCACCCGAGGAACTTGAGCTCTTCCCTGCGTAGCGGGGTTGCCAACGGGGGTCCACAGGCTGAAGGTGACAAGATTTGTGGCCATCCGTGTATAGTTTTTCTTTCCAGGTTGCCAACATCCTTACCACTCTGATGTCTTCTTACATTCCTATGGCTTCAATCTAACTTTCGATTGATTGGTGAGCATTCGTTACTATTGCTCATAACCCCGGAGCAGTGAGTGATACTGACCCAAACACGGAGGATAATAGAGGGCAACGTGAAGTGTCCATCATCCCACAGGAAATAAGTGCTGGCATGTGTACCCTCTTCCGCATGCCAGTCTTGAAGCTCTCTGAACCCCAGACCTGTGCCTATCCCCTCCCGCTCCAAACCTCCTCTTCCTCAGCGGCTTCTCTCAGCTCCACGAGTCTAGCTCAGTCCCTTCATTGCCTGGGCACTCTCTTCTGAAACCATCCCTATGTGGTAGGGGCAGTAGTAATTAACAATAAATTACTTCATCCTTGACAGGAACTCACTGAAGTCAACCATGGGCACAACAGGAGATAACACATCGGCAGAAAAACGCGACCGACTGTGTGTGCTTATCTCTTTTCCCTCCTAACCCAAATCAAAACCCAAACCAAAAGTCAAATGATTGCCCTCAAACCGAATGTGACTCATGAACCCAGATGGAAATGGCGGCTGTCAGTCAATTCTGACTCAGAACGACCCTCTGGGACAGAGTAGAACCGCCCTTGTGGGTTTCTGGGCTGTAAATCTTTATGTGAACAGAAAGCTTCACTTTTCTCTTACAGAGCATCTGGTGGTTTTGAACTGTCAACCCAAGGCGTAACCCACTATGCCACCAGGGCACCTTATCCTACTTATAATGACCTTATGTAGGATTTCTGAGGCTGTGTCAATCCCTAAGGGAGTAGACAGCCTCATCTTTCTCCTGAGTGACTAGTGGATTCGAACCTTGCAGTTAGCAGCCCAACGTTGACTCGTGATTGGTAGCAGAGGAAGAGAAATGCCAGCAAGGAAGCCAGCTCCAGGCGAAGGCAAGAAAGAATGTAAAACTCATAGGGTCTCAGAGAGACAGAGGTGCTGGTCTGTGACCTCTTGCAACTCTCTGAATCAAACCAGGCCTAAGTTTACCACCTTTACCCTGTACCACCAGTGGTTCTAGGTCTACAAGCCCACCAATGATCCAATCTCATTATTGAGACCCATTAGGGTTTTGTGTCCGTTACAGGGGAGACCATCCTGCCTCCGTTTTAGTTCTCAACAATGTATTCTTCAGGACTATTTGCATAAAGGATGGGGGCAGAATCAGAATGACCTCTTATGATTGAAATATTAAGACCACTACTTCATTTTTTTCTCCTAACAAAAAAAGCTATGATGCAAGACAATTTAATTCCTCATGCTGCAGCCCTTTAATACAATTCCTCACGTTGTGGTGACCCCCCAACCATAAAATTATTTTTGTTGCTACTTCATGACTATCATTTTGTTACTGTTATGAATTGGGCGACCCCTGTGAAAGGGTCGTTCGACCCCCAAAGGGGTCACGACCCGCAGGTTGAGAACCGCTGTTCTAGGGGCTGTTAGAGGACCCACTAAAACTGGAGACATAGGAAGTGTCTACTGCCTGCTCTTCTGTGCCCTTTGGGTTAGAAGTCTGCCCACCAAGGCGAGACTCTGACTCCTTTGCATCGCCTTTTGTCCCCAAGCCCACTACCGAGTCCAGTGCAGAGTGAGTGATTTGGCACCTGCCAATGAACTGGCTTGTCCCTGGTCTCTGTTCTAGATATGACAAGTGTTTTGCCCTCATTGAAGACACGGAGGCTTAGGTTAAGAATTTGTCCTTGCTCACCTGCCTGGTAAATCAAAGTCTTGGGCTAAATCAGTTTTGTAATTCCAAATGTCATGCTTCTTTGGCCTATTTCCTATCTCTCTGTATATTATTAATCAATTTTTGTTTTCAAGAAAAAATGATAATTGATCTTTCAAGTAAACACAGCCAATATCGTGTCATGTCATTACCTCAATGAATGACAATATTTTCCACAAGGGAGCCGATTAGCTTGCCTGAGGTTTCCAGAGACATAAGTATTAGATTAGAGTGACATCAAGTGGGAAAATCCAATTATTTAGACGGGCGACTTGTTATCCTCACTGCTACCCTCCAAGTCCGTCCTAGTAGTCTGGTCTCTCCCCTCTCACTCGCTGCAGTTGAGTTGATTCCACTCCTAGCGACCAATGGGACAGGGCCAAACTGCTCCTGGGGGCTCCTGAGACTGTAGCTTTTTAAAGGAGTAGAAAGCCCTAGTTCTCCCCTCTCAATATTTACTAACAAGTTTGTCCTAAGAGTTGTCCACATATGGAGTTTTTGAGAGATTACGTTGGTCTCACAAACACCACGCAGGATGTTCTATTTGATATTGTCTTGTTTTGACCCTATAGATACTTGTAGAGGTTCTTAACCAGCTTGGGCGGGTGAGCTAGCTATATGGGGAAGTGGGGGATTGCTTTGCTGGAATTGGCTCAATGGTTTGTGAGAACTGGTTGTCAAATATTTAGGAATTTTAGATGCCAGTTGTTATACTGTTGACAACTTGAAATTAGCAGGCGGGAGTATTTCCCCCTATGTTGTTGTTGTTGTTGTGTGCTGTCTAGTCAGTTCCGACTCGTAGCAACCCTATGTATGAGAGAAGGAAATGCTGCCCAGTCCTGCCAGCCTCCCAATGACTGTTATGTTTGAACCCCTTGTTGTGACCATTGTGCCATTCCATCTCATTGAAGGTTTTCCTCTCCCTTGCTGATTCTCTATCAAGCATGGGGTGGTGCCCTGTAAGTGTTGGGGTGCTAAATGGCAAGTTCAGAGGTTCAAACCCACTAGCCACTCCTTGGGACAACGATGCAGTGACCTATTCTTTAGGGGCTCAAGGGTAGTGGAAAGAGTCACAATAGTCCACATGATTCTGTTCATATAGCATTCCTGAAATGCTGACGACAGGCATGGTGCACAGAGTAGTAGTCATCTCCTTTAGAAATGGGGGTGAGTGGGGTATCGTTAAAAGAATAACATGAGGGTTTGGGACGGTTGAATGCCAGTATCATGGTTGAGATAGTATTCAATAGTTTTGAGAGCTGTTACCATTTGGAGAAAGTGGGTAAAATGTACATAGGCTCTCTCCCTCCTCTT